TAAAAAAAAAAAAAAGAAAAAAAAAAAAAAAAAAGAAAAAAAGAACTAGCAGGAGGAGTTAGAATAGAAAAAGAGTAGACGTTACACCAGGCAACGCCTACGAAACAAAGAAACAAAAAAATACCTCTCTCTCCCAGCCGAGCACCGACGGGGTAAGCAAAAATGGGGTCCCTGCTGGGGGCCGGGGTGGGCAACCCTCCAGCTGGTGATGATCAGCCACTGCGAGTGAGGCCGGGAGACCCATCACCGGGCAGCACTGGGGCGCCAGGGCTGCGTCCCCCTCTCGGGTTCCCGACAGAGAAGGTGGGAGCCCCCTTCCAGGCCCCCACCCCTTGTTTCTCTTCTCTGGGTAGCCCAGGGAAGAGCTGAGGACCAGAGGGAAGCATCTGCAAATGAGAACCCCAAAGAAGGGCGGGGGGCGGGGCGCACACCCAGTCCAACGGCGACCCCTCCCCGCGACCTGTCCCGCCCTGGACCAACTCTCCGCGCCCGTGCCGGCACCCCCAGTGGAAAAGGGCAGAATTCCAGAATCTGGGGGCCACCGAGGCAGTCTCCAGGAGACGCGTGGGGGTTGGGAATGGAGGATGAACGCTGGCATCCAGGCTGGGAAAGGAGCAGGCGCTGCAGAGGGGAAATGAATCTCCTTGACGCTGTCACCAGGGACCTAAGGTAGCTTCGCATCTTGGAGGATAGCAGTCTCTGGTGCCTGGCAATTCCAGGAACACTTCAGAGATCTTCTTCCGTTTATCCTGACAATGACCAGGGAAGGCAGTATAGATAGTGACCTCCTAATTTTAGAGATGGGGACACTGAGGCTCAAGGAGGTTGTGTTGCCCAAGGGCAGGCAGCCAATAGAAAGCAGAAACAGGCCTCCTCTCTGTTTACCCTCAAAGCCTACACTGCCTTGGAGCTGCTGTCCTGGCGCCTCACGCCCCTCTCATCCAGGATGGACCAGAGGATGAGAGTATTGAGGGGTGTAGAACCCCAGGTCTGGGCACAATCTCCAGTCTGAGTTTGAAGCTTTTCTTTCCGTTGCTCCCCATTTAGTTTGTGGGGATCCCCAGGTGGTCCCTTCTTGCACTACCAAGGCATCGAGGAAGGAGGACCCATTCATGAGCCCTGGATTTTCTCTAGGCCAGGCCATAGTTTCCTCTTCCTTCTGCCCTCCCTTTTAAATAAAAATAAAAATAAATAAAAACCCTGACAAGAATTTAAGCAGGAGCCGGGATATTAACTATCCAATCTTAAGGAGGGCCCTGGAATGAGTCAGTTCCTTCCCCCAGGTTTCCCTGATGGAAACCAAGGTCATCAGCACCTCAGGTGGGTGAGAGATGTAGTCACTTCTTACCTGTCCCAGCCAGGGACCCAGGAGGTCAGACACAGCAGAATTCTCTTGGGCGTGCTAAGACGGGGATCCATTCTGGACCCACTGCCCTTGCCTCCAGCCTAGAACAGACCAGGGTCTTGCCCTTGGATTCTTGCGCTTGAGATTAGCTAAGACCTCTTTCTCTCTTTCTTTCTTTCTTTCTTTCTTTCTTTCTTTCTTTCTTTCTTTCTTTCTTTTTTCTCCTTTGCCCCCCCCTTTCTTTATTTCATTTTAAAGAACTTGGTCCCAGATCTCCACAATGAACTACCTCTTCCCATGTAACAGCAAGCTTTCCCTTAGCACCAGCTGTGTGCCAGCCTGTGCTCTCTCCCGGAGGGTCTGTGGCAGATGAGAAGAGTCCCTGTTCTTCGGCTGCTCGTAGCCTAGCGAGGGACACAAACACATGTGGGACAGTGGCCGCCACCAGCCACGCCTGCGGTGCCAGGTGTTCACACTTCCTTCCTCTTGCCCAGAACTACCTCTTTGAGCAAGTAGGATAAGGACAGAAGTTGTGCCCGCAGCTGAAACCCCCGCCCCAGGGCGGGGAGCCTCCAAGGCAGTAGCTGCCGGCCTGTGCCCTCAACACCCTTGCCAGCCACCCCTCACTCCTGGTGTGGTGGAATCAGGCTGGGCTAAGGAGAACCTCTTGTGTGGAAAACAGCTAGCCCAGCAAGCTTACGATGTCTCTCTCTTGTGCTGATCAGAACTGGGAGGAACCAAAAAATAAGAGGGGAAGAATTTAATCAATTATTACCTAATAAAATGTGGTTGGCTTGGCGGCACTATCTCTCCCATCGTGGTCCACAGAGGAGGAAATCCTAGAAGGGATGCTTGAAGTTTGGAACCACTGCTTTGGTGAGTCTGTGCTTCCCCCTACTGGGCACAGGCAGTATGGCAGCCAACCTAGGGCGAGGCCTCTAGTGGTGATGAAGATGAGTCACAGCGCGGGTGACATTGCTGGACTGTCGCCTTGTCACCTCCAAGGCAGGGATTGTGCAGCCACTGGATACACTGAGTAGGTGACCGAGCAGATTTCTCCAGGAATTTCCTCACTCGCCCCCCCCCCCGGCTTACCATTACTCAGCTGGTGCCTGTTTAAACATAAAAATAAAAGGTAATACATGTGCATAGTTAAAAAGAAAAACAGTTTTTAGCCCTAACTGGTTTGGCTCAGTGGATAGAGCGTCGGCCTGCAGACTGAAGGGTCCCAGGTTCGATTCCAGTCAAGAGCATGTACCTTGGTTGCAGGCATATCCCTAGCAGGGGGTGTGCAGGAGGCAGCTGATCGATGTTTCTCTCTTGTTGATGTTTCTAACTCTCTAGTGCTCTCCCTTCTTCTCTGTAAAAAATCAATAAATATATATATATGAAAAACAGTTTTAATATATCTTTCCAGAGATAATTTGGGTGTATACAAGCAGTGTGTGTGTGTGTGTGTGTGTGTGTGTGTGACACAAATGATAGTACACATTCCACACTGTTCAGCACCTTGCTATTTTCATTTAAAAATATATCTGCCTTTACCAAATCTACAGTCTCCCATCATATTGGTGTGTCACAATTTATTTCATTATTCCTCTCCTAGTGGATATTTAGGTTGTGTCTGCCTGCAGGATATATCTTTGTACACTGCAATTATGTGTGTGTAAAACAAATGTATAAATATGACATTACTGGGTCAAAGTTTATGAACTTTTAGATTTGAGATAGATTTTCATGGAACTGCCCTCCAAAAAAAGTTTTCCCCAATTTGCGACCCCCAGCGACGGATGAGATTGCTGGTTTCCCCTCACCCCCACGAACAGAGGGCACTAGCAGGCCTTTCGATCTTTGGTGAGGCCTCTTTGAAAGTCTTTGTCACAAGGCAGGTGACGATCTGTCTCTTTCTTTCTCCAAGGCAGGGACTGTGCGGTCTTTTCCGTCCCTGCATCCCCAGCATAGGACTGCAATGCTCAGTGAAAGAGAACAGGACTGCATTTGGGCAGGCCTGCAGGAGGGAGAGTAGATGGCTGGGTTTGAGCAGGAAGCCTGTGCTTAAGGGCCACTCTTGTTTCCAGGCCCTGATCAAACCTCGGCCCCAACGCCCAAAGCCCTTCTCTTGCAGGAGCCTTCCAGACTTCGAGATCTGAGGTTGAAGACCGGGCATTCCCAGTCTTCACACTCAGCTCTCCTGCATCGCAGGGGTGGGCCTCATCACCACTGAACTGCTGAAGGACTGGACATACACCAGGTGTCTGGGTATAGGGGGGTCAGTGAAACCAACATCCACTAGAACTTTCTGCGATGATGACAACGTTCTCTGTCTGTGCTGTTCAATATGGTAGCCACTGGCCACATATAGCTGGTAGGCACTCAAAAGGACTGGAATGAAGGGCATGTGACTCGATGGGGATGGTGGGAGTCTGGAAGAATCCACAGGTCCAATTCTCAAGGACTTGGGGGACATGTTAAGTATATGAGACTTGAGCCTGGTGACTGACAGGGTGAGGCGGGTGGGCAGGAGGGACATGATCATTTGAGGGCATTAGAAAGAGAAGGAAGAACGAAAACCATTTAGGGATTTCAAAACAGAACACAGATCAGGAAAGAGAAGCAGAAGGAGGTAAGGGCGAGATCTTTGAAAGGGAAGGCATGGCTTTGATGTAAGGGTGAAAAATAGCTCCTGTTTGGAGTGCAGATGACAGAGAGATGGTGAGTCACAACGGGACAAGGACGAAGGAAGAGCTGCAGATTGAGAGAGAAGTAAACCGTTCCACTGATGACTGGAATCTGAGGGGCATCCCCTGGGCCAGTCCGACAGGAGGGTTGGAGATTCAGGACTACTCTCCTAAATTGGTGAAGAAGCGAGGGGATGTTGAAGCCACTAGAAGGCTGAATGAGTCCAGAGACCCACCTGACTCAGGAACTGGGAGGATGTCTCCACTTGGGTGTGGGAGGACACCAGAAGGACCAGGACCAGCAGGTTTCCCCCCATAAACCGCCTCCAGCAGGGCCACTCCCAGAGCAGCCAGCAGGCACCAGCCATTTGCGGGGGCGGGAGGATGGGCGGAGACTAGGGAAGCAGCGTGGCCCTGGGAGGTTTCAGGGAGGAGGGCCAGTCCCAGGCTCTGAGAGCAGGTCAACAGGGTACGCACCCTGAAGACCACTGAGCTGGGCAACTAGGGTATCCCTAGTGGCCTTCAGAAAAGAATAATGCTTTCAACAAGAGCTGCTGAATTTCAGTGGCAAGTTTGGTGGCAGAAGGGAGAGAAGGGGAGACACTGAGGGGCAGAGCCTAAGCCGGCCATCGACAGAGAGAAAACACACACATAAAATTAATGGTGCTGTTTATAACCTGCGTTGAAAATATGATTAAAGTTTTTACAGAGAACCCAG